AGTATGTCATCCATCACTAGTTCTATTCAACGACTCTTTTTCCTGCTCCGCTCGCTTCCGTGCTCTGTAATCACGGTAATATTGTACATTTTTCCCTCGTCGTCCTCTTGAACCAGTGCTTCTGGTTGCCTCACCTGGAAAATGTATTTGTATTAATAATGTATGTGAATGCGTCATAATGTAATTTCAAAAGAGAAAACCTAACAATCAATTGATATTCACAAGAGACGTACCTTGACATAACCTTAAATCCGTCGCATTGTCCGTGGGATTGTTTCACTCATTTTTTTCAATTGTTACCCACTAAATTTGAAAATAAAAAATACTATCCTATTATAATACTAAATTATATGTGTATCAAAACAAACTAAAAAAATATTTATAGAAAAACAATACGTTTATGACTTTTATTATTTTTATGCTAGTGAGAACCAAAACAATGGATGGGTGATCGTGTAAAGCTAAGGCAAAGCTAGTGGTAAAATTGCTCTTTCAAGACTTCCGGGTTACTGCTTCCGATATATTTTTGCGCCGCAGATTGAAAAAACGCGCCATCATATTATTGCATCATATCTTTTGCAGTATTTCACATGTACCGAGTTCTTTCTTTCAGCCTTTAAACTTCAGCATTATCATATTAATATTATAATCATTAGAATATTTTCTAATTAGGCTAACGTAAAAAGATATTTTTAAAGATGTTTTTGGCGACATTTTGTTCAAATGTAGCCAAATAAGGGATAAAATACAAAACATGGCATACCTTAAAAATTATTCACAATGAGGTATTAACTTTCCAAAATTTTTTTTGGCCTTACGACCTCTGAGAATCAATACATTTCTGAAAGCTCTTATGAATGGTACAATTATGTTTAGATTTGAACCCAAATTAAAATAACAAAACTGAATAGAATATTAGGCTTGTTCACACATCGCCTCGTAGTCATAACATAAGCGGAGGGATACACCGGAAATTTTCTGAATTTCTTCCGGTTTAAGGACGCTTGTTATTGTTTACATTAGACCACCCATCCATATGGAAATGAATGAGGGAAAACTGGATCCTACCACGTGATTTTCCGGCCAATAAAAATGTAGCGTTAAACGTTTAACGCAACCTTGTTGGATAAGAAGTATAAGAATATCGTCGAAGTATAAGTCGCATAAGAAGTATAACTTTAAAAAAAGGGATTTGCATATTTTGAACCTGATGCAAAACTCATTTTAACAACTCAAAATAAGAGCTAAAAGAAGAGTTATTAGATGTTGAATTTAACTAAAATAAATCTTCAAGCAATTAGAATCTATACAACAAAAATCAAAATTTTTCTATTCGAATTTTTGAAAACACTGAAGTTGCCAAACAAACAAAATGCGATGTAGTTCATTTATCTCTAAATAACGTAACATGTTATTAGCTCGTTTCATGAGATTTCTCAAAGTAGCTGCTAGTAATAGTTAAAAAGTACCGGATCCCAGTTTTATCCACAAACCTAGCTTTGTCCAATTCTCCCACGCTTAGCCAAACTCAGTATAAAACTACACCGATTTGGTTAACTAGAAAGAACCATTAAAGTTTTCTAAAAAAATGCAGCCGAGATACGAGTCTTTAAAACTAATCATCAAAGCAATTTGAAGTTTTCCGAATTTTGCAACCACTTCAATTTAGATAATATTCATCCATCATGTATCAGACTTCTATATATGTAATAAGCATCATCCAAATATTTCTGATGATCAAGAAAATTTATTGATCAGTTTAAAAAAAAAAATATAAGAAATATATTTTTAGTGCAAATTTTTTTTTAACCTCTTTAAAAATCTTGGCGAACCCTTGAGAGCCCTACATAGTATATTCAAGAAGCTAAAATGGTGTGGCTTTATTAAGTTCTTACTTCCGTTTTGAAAATATAAAATTACAGCAAATGAAGTTTAAGCTTGCAACAAAACTAAGAGAAATTAGCAATTTTAACTTATTTGTTACTGCAATCGGCAATTTGAAATAAATAATATTGTTTTTACTAAGTAAGAATTTGAGGATAAATTTAAATACAATAAAATTTTTATTAGATTTCCTAATAGTATTTGTAACTAGTTTCGAAAGGTGTACAATGAAAAATTAACTGGCGGTTAATAGTTGATATAAAATATTAAAAAAATACTTTATTGGCAATTTCAGTTTTTACCTTTTATGAACGCTGCTGATGAAATTCATTTGTTTCAGGTGCGAAGCACCTCTATGAAAGTGCTTTCTCATCTCAATTCCGATGCTTCAAAAAGGAACTCTAGATTGTTGCCCAGAAGGAAGGAAGACTTGAAGGTGACACTTACTATGTTGGCTTGTTTTTGCACTTTTCAAATCTGTTTTCTGCCACTGATGATCGTCAACGTATTCGAAGAAAGCATAAGGTGAGCTTCACGCTAACTACACTGGGATGCATTACAATGGGGTGGAGTACTTGTTCTTACATAATTCGAGTGTGGGGACTTTAAATCTGAAATTAGTTTTGCTAGGATAGCTCCAGTTTTTTTTCTTTCAAAATGATAGTTTTAGTGTAGTTTCAATTTTGTCTGAATCTACAAGCTTATAGGTTAACGTTTACATAAATGCATAGACACGGTCTGGTCCTTTGAAAATAACATTTAAGAAAAAAAATTTACTGTGTCAGAAACCAAAATGTATTATCGTCTTTTTCCTATCACTCTCTGCGTAGCAGAGAAGCGAGGTGAGTTATTAGAGGAAATTTTCGTCGGTTTTATCATCTAACTCACCATTTTCAAGTAATTCGGTTTTGATTCACTTCATTCGCTTTGGCTTTAAAGTTTTCAAATGTCTGCGTACCAGTTCTTAAAATGTTCAGAATTTGAAAAATGTATTTAAAACGAATTGTTTCGAAATCCGAAATCACAAGAAATTAAAATGAAATAAGCTTTAAAATTGATGTTAGTCTAAGTTAATATAATTTAAAAACAAAGTTTTTGCAAATAAAATGCGATATTAATTTTTTTTGTATGATGGACGATATTAAATATTTTTAGAAAAATATGAGGAATTTTAAAATTTATTCATTATAAATTTAAATGATTGTTTAGTTGAATAATGAAACATAAATAGTTTTTAAAATTTTTCATACATTTTTCTTTAAATGAGTTTCATAATTTTATTCAAAATGTTTTAGTTTCACTAATTTATTGGGATATAGTCAAAAATAAAAAAAATAAATTTTTTTTTACATAAAATGAGATTTGAATATTTCATTTATTTCCTAACTAAATTTCTATAACCATTTGTGTAAACTTTCTTATAGAATCTGTTATTAAGGATATCGAAGTATGCAATTGTTATAGTATTTCTTAGTAATTGATCGATAAAATGATGCACTTCAATATAATTTTAAGGAGAACGTTTCTACTTATCTATTTCTTTCTCATATAAAAGTTCTAATTATTTCTTAAAGTAGCATTTTGGTAACAATTCTCCGACTTTTAAGTTAAAATTTATTTTTTATGCAAAATTTCAATGCTTTTACTTCAGAAGAGTCCCTATATGAGAATTTTCCTATTTGCAATTACATCATACCAGCATTTTCTTTCCTTGCAAAATCTATAAAAAAAATGAAATTTAGGTTCAATAGCTCTTGAAATGATATCAAATCATTTCTTTCTGTATATCGGTATTTTAAATGCGCATCTCTGTCCTGTGATTTTTTTGCAAATAATGTGAAATATGACATAATTATCTGTAACTATGTACATTCCACATAGTTTATCGATCCAGTGAAGCGCTTAATCTCATTTGAATTCTCCATCAATTTCACAGTTTCACTCTCCGTCGCGCTTTTGCACGTTTGAAAGGAAAAGCACGTCGACAGTAATCGTTGCAGTTATGTCCAGAAAGCATGCCTTTCTCTTCAAGACATCGCGTCGCGAGCAATGTCGTCAATGATGCTTAAAAAGAGATGATCAGATCATACGCTGAGTGCTGTTAGACATGCAAATTTTAGTCTGATTTTATCTAAAATATCTTTCATATTGACTCAAAGATGTTGTTTTTCTTTTAAAACTCAGTGATGCTCATCTAAAGCACTGACAGAATATTTAGTAGGGACATCATAAGAGTATGTTCCATGTGGCAGAATAGCATACTAATGCAAATTGTATTATACACATTCTATCCACTTATTTTCTGTTTAAATTTATTATTCAGCATTAAGTATTCAACGTTCAACGTATAAATTAATGCAAAGTATATTATATACATTCCTTTTATGCAAATACGCTTACCTAATAGGCACTTTAGACGTAGCGTTTTGAGCAAATGTGCTTTAATATCCCTTATGTCCTTATCTTTTATATCCTTATTTTTTATATCCTTATCCATTATATTTTTGTCCTTTAATATCCTTTATATCTTTTTATTTTTAGAAAAATAAGAAGAAGTATTATAACTTTAAAGAGATATTTGGATATCAAAAAAGATAATGTTTTAGTTTAATATAAACAGAAAGTTCACGATATAAAATGTTTTTCTTTTGTGGAAAAAAAAAAGAGAAGAACTAATGAATTTTTATTGTAAGCTCCCCATACCTAAATTTATTAAATAGAACAGAATAAATTTTAACAGAAAGTTCCCCACATCCAAACTGAAAAGCAAAAAATTTGAAATATGGTAGTTTAGTACCAAATAAACGTAATTTTAATGTGCCTCGCTAACTATTCTAACAACTCCTTTCAAATTTTTGAATTAGAAGAAAAGCAAAAAAAAAAACTTTTTGTTTAAATTTCCGCTGTGACTGATATTGATCAACTAATCAGTATAGCTGGTATATAGCTCTAAACATTTAATCTCTAATTTTATAATTTCTAGCTTAACTTGGGGTCGGGGGGGGACCTTTTGCATTGAGCATCCAGATAAAATGAATTGGAGACTTTAACCAATAATCCGACTTCCGATATTCTGAAAGAAGTGAGAATTTGCAAAACTTGGGATCTGTCGAGGGATTTCAATCTTGGAACCTGGATCTACTCACAATTTATTACACGGAGAGGCTTCGGCCGGCGGGAATCGAACCCACGATCTCTTGGACATTGGCCCAGTGCCCTACCAGCCAGGCTATCCAGCCTATTACCAGCATTTATAATTTCAGAATTGAAATTTTTAAAAATTAATACTTCAAATTCAGAAAAATCATTCATAAAAAAAGATTTCACGAACTCTTGGACGATTATTGCCGTTAATTGCCGCAAAGTTTATTAACACAATTTGACCATCCTATAAAATTAAGATTTTAAAGAAAAATTAAGCTAAAATTTTTTTCTGCTCCAATGTTACTGAAACAAATTTCCCTATTCCTAAAAATATGTTTTTTGTTTAATTAAAGTTTTATTACTGAGAATAGTAAAATATTATAAAAAATGTTAATGAAACTTTTTTTAAGAAAATTTTTTTGGCATTTTTACTGTTAAAAATGTAAATGGTAGTTAAATTTTTGTATTAATATAAAAATTATCATTATTTATACAAATTATTGTTAAAAAACACCTTTCGGAGCTGATATAATGCATTTTCAATCATGTTATTTTCCTGTTTTTAGAATTAGCAGTTTTTCGGTCATTTTTATTTATTTATTTTAAGTATATTAAACTACAATATATATCACTTTTGTGCAATAAAAGCAAAAGACTTGAAATTAATTTCAGTAAAATAAAGACAATGATGATCTTAAAGAACCGATATTAAAACGTACCTCCTAAAAGTCGAAAGAACGATCGAAAAAACAAAAACAAANTAACAACTCCTTTAAAATTTTTGAATTAGAAAAAAAGCAAAAGAAAAAACTTTTTGTTTCAATTTCCCCTGTGACTGATATTGATCAACTAATCAGTATAGCTCTTGACATTTAATTTCTAAATTTATAATTTCCAGTTTAACTTGGAGGAGGGGAACTTTTGCATTGAGCATCCAGATAATCAATAATCAATTAACCAATAATCCTACTTCCGATATTCTAAAGGAAGTGAGAATTTGCAGTTTGGAAAACTTGGGATCTGTCGAGGGATTTGGATCTTGGGATCTGGATCTACTCTATATTTATTACACGGGGAGTCTTCGGCCGGCAGGAATCGAACCCTTGGACATGGGCCCAGTGCCCTACCAGCCAGGCTATCCCGTACCATTAACAGCATTTATAATTTCAGCTTTAAAATTTTTAAAAATAAATACTTTAAATTCAGAAAAATTACTCATGAAAAAAGATTTGACAAAGTTAATTACCACAAAGTTAATTAACACAATTTGACCTTCCTATAAAATTATGATTTAAAAAAAAAATTACGCTAAAATTTTTTTCTCCTCCAATGTTACGGAAACAAATTGCCCCATTCTTAAAAATATTTTTTTTTGTTTAGTTAAAGTTTTTATTAGTGAGAATAATAAATATTATAAAAATTTTCAATGAAACTTTTTTTAAGAATAATTTTTTGACGTTTTTACTGTTAAAAACGTAAATGGAAGTAAACGTTGATTTTTTGTATTAATATAAAAATTATCATTATTTATACAAATTATTGTTGGTGTACAAAGGTTTTTTTTATATTATTTATTTGACATGTGAGAGAGAGAGTAAATGTATAACGAATTTGATGTTTGAGTTCTGCTCTACGTAATCATATAATATGCATAATCATATATAATGGTTATCATATAAGATAAAAATAAAATGGTAAATTTAAAAAATTAGAAAAAGGAAAAAAAGAAACACCTTTCGGAACTGATATAATGATTTTCAATCGTGTTATTTCCTGTTTTTAGAATTAACAGCTTTTCCTTCATTTTTACTTATTTATTTTAAGTATATTAAACTACAATATATATCACTTTTGTGCAATAAAAGCAAAATACTTGAAATTAATTTCAATAAAATAAAGACAATGATGATCTTAAAGAGCGAAAGTCGAAAGAATGATCGAAAATACAAAAACACATTTTTTATTTCAACGTACTTTATTTATTATTTTTTTATTGACTGGGATTTCTTTAAAAAAGTAAAGGTTGAATTTTACTTTGAATCAAAACAAAGTTGTTTAAAAGCAAAAAAAGAATTCAAAATATTATTTTGCAATTAAAAAAAAATTCGTAATAAAAACTAATAACAAAATCCATACACAAACAATAAACGGTAAAATCATGACCTAATGAACTATATAAATGAATTTACGAACATAATAAAAACATTTATTATAAGAACAACTATATAAAAAAATTCTAACAGTACATAAATACATAATTATTAAAGCATTAAATAATTTAATGAAAAGAAAACATTTGCTTGCCTCCTTCGAAATTTATTTTACGTTTTCTTGTTATTCAACGAGAAGCTTCATTAAGAATTGGAATCATTGATGAATGGCACGATTTATGTTTTAAAAAAAATTTGCAAATTTATCAAACAGATGTAAAAAAAACAACAACCACATAATTTAAAACGAAATAAAAAAATTATGCTTCAATTTAAAATCGATAACTTAAATGATGTAATTAAATGAACTAAAAAAGAAAATTTAACAGAGAGCATTTATTAATGTTTGTCTGAGAAAAGTCTCATCACAAAATGACCAGAGAAAATGTCAACAAGAGTTTTCCCCAGTTTAGATCCCTTAATTGGTTAAAACATCTGTTTTCTCAGAAAATCTAAATAATTGCTTGTTTGAGACAATTTATGAACAGATATTCAAATAGGATATGGTTCTGTAGATATCTGATATTTTAAAAAGAGGACAAATGAGCAAAGGGCCATAAAAATGAAAATTAACAAAACAAAAGTACTTATAACCCAAGCATAAGTATCCCATAGTGTAATATGAGGTGGTTGTTTTTGAGGAGTCAAATAACTGCCTTTATGGATGGTTTGTTTTTAAAATTGTTTTTTTTTCCTCGCTTAATTTTATAGAAAGTTATCATGTGTAAAAAAAAAAAGTCTTTGTCGTAAGAAAACAGTTTGCGATTTTGAAAAAGTTTTTTTTTCTTTCTAAAATTACCAATTTAATTTTATTTTATTTTCACGAATGTCTAAATTTCAAAAGGGGCAAAGTTCATTATTTGTCCTTCAATTAAATTTCAGAGGATAATAAAAAGTTTGATTTCGAAATTAGCTTTGAAGTCGAAAAAAATAGTGCTTTTTTTCTAAAGTTACCAATTTAACTTGAGTTCATTCTCACGGATGTCTACATTTCAGAAGGGGCTAAGTACACTATTCACCCCCTCAATTTCAGAAAGAAAAAAAATCTTTTTAAAAAAGAAAAAAAGAACTTTAAAGTTGAAAAAATGTTCTTTTTTTTTCTAACTAAAATTACCAATTTAACTTTATTTTCAGGAATGGCGAAATTTCAGAAATGGCGATTATTTGGCCCCTCAACTTAAATTCACAGTAAAATAAAGTTTCTGATTTCGAAAATAATTTTTAAGTAGAGAAAGGAATGGTTCTTTTTTCTAAAGTTATTAATTTAACTTGACATTATTTTCACGAATTTCTAAATTTCAGAAACGATGAAGCACATTGTTCGCCCTTCAATTAAATTTCAGATGTAAATAAAGTTTTTTACTTAGAAAATCATATCAACGTTGGAAAAAAAAAGCAAGTTTCCCCCCTCAAAGATTACAAATTTAAATAGACCTTATTTTTGTGAATGTCTAATTTTGTGAATGTCTAATGTCGGGGCGAAACGTATTATTCATCCTTTTATTAAATTTAAAAAGAAAATAAAGTTTTCTTTTTGAAAAATAGCTTAAAAATTGATTAAAAAAAAGAGCGTTTTTTTTCCTAAAATTACTACTTGGCTTTCTTTCCTGCCTTTATATTTATTATAACCTCAGAAGAAATATTTCAGAAGAAAATGAAGTTTTCTACTTGGAAAATAGCTTCAAGTGCATACATAATAATCTGTTAAAATATTTACAGGTGTGATAAACTTATCATAATAAGTCTTACAACTTATATTCATTAATATGTTTGGTGCTGCCATCTATTAACAATAGGCTCTATTATAAATAGTATAATATGTGCAAGAACAAATGTAATGAAGGTTCTTATAAGTTCTCATCTATAATTAGTGGGGTCATCTATCAAATAAAAATTTTGTTTCAATTGAGGAATATGTAGCAATGTAGATTAGGATGAGCCGAAAGAGGTTTTTATTTTCAAAACGCTAATGTGAGGAAAACCTGTTTTATGCAAAAAGAAGGTAATTAGTTTTAAAAAAATATTAATTTCGATTTTTTTATATGGTCGTGAATATCACATAAATTTTATAAAACCTAACAAACGTAAACATTTTTCCTAATTGCAAACATAAATGTTTTCATACAACTTAAAATTGTACATTTGATTTTCAAAAGTTTCATATGCTTAATTTGGTTTCAAAAAAGGAAATATGCTAAAAACCATTATTAATGAATTACTCACCGATTGCCCACCTAACACACAATATCGATCGATTTCGTAAAATCGTCGTTTACGACATCGAACATTATTGTTCAGTTCTAAGTAAAAACGTCAAACTTTTACTGATATTCTGTATCGGAAAAATGACATAGATCGATGTTGTAAAAAACGCTGTAGTTGTCTATCGATATTTCCCAGCACCTTACATACTCTGTAGGATGTCGACCGTCATCCTCAACAAGATATTTATGAAACGAAAGCTACTGAACATTGGCTATCACCAAAATAACGTTATTTGTAAAGAAAACTATAGTATTTGAAAATATTCTGGCCTGTTTGTACTCCGGTAAAGAGAAAAATCTGGTAGGGAAAGGGAATGAAATCATCTCTAGGTTGTTTTGAAAAGAAATGAAATATCCATATTACTATAACTTTTTTTTATAACAGTTATAGCATATATATTTACAATTTTATATTCTCTTTCAGTCCTAATTTTTAAAAAAAAAGATTGGAGAAGTTTACGTATTAATTACAAATTGTTCACCTTAATTTACTTTCTACTGGATGAGAAACAGTCCTGTATATATGTTATAAAATTTAATCGGTCTTTGAAAGCATGATTATTTTTCCCGAAAATAAGACAACGATGAATGATTACGATATCAGTTTTTTTCTTCTTTTTTTTTCTGGAGTAAAAACAGCGTGTTATAATTAATTGGGAGGCGAGGCAGAGGGATGATGCAGTCAGTCTACTCCTAATTTTATTTATGTTTCGATTATTTTTATGGCGAGTAGCTGTTTTTATTTTAAGCATATTTTATATTTCCATTAAATACTAGCCAATCTTATATAATATCAGCTCTAATATTAGAAGATATGATTCAGGAGTCTAGCGTTTCATGGCAGTATTATATTGCATCTTTCTGATGTTAAATAATACCGTTTTACTACGATCAGGGGTTGAAGCCCCTTCGTTATTTCTATTTTATCACATCTTTAATAAAAAATTTCTTGCAGGTACCCAGTGATCCATACCATGGCCTCTATTCTCGCATGGATGTCTGCTTGCTCCAATCCCTTTATCTACGTCCTATTGAACAAGCACTATAGAGAAGCCTATTTTCACCTCCTCATCACATGGGGATTGCTGAAAGGGGTGGACCAGAACACATCCTGCGATGGTGCATCTGCAGCTTCTAGAATAACAAATTTGCGCTCAGCTTCCGCAGAGAATACCAAATCTCAGGATGAACTCAACGCATCACGTGATCTGGAAGTTTAACTTATACATTGATCAAACATATTTAATAAAGCAATATATATTTTTATAAACACTTTTCTGTTTAGATTTTAATTATACTCTAAACGATCTTAATGAATGAATGATCTTAAGTGCCTTTTTATGGATGGATTTGAGATAATGATGAGCTTTTAGTTTATATGTTGACAGTCAGAAATTAGGACCTTGCCTTATTTGTTTTTTGTTTACTAGCTTCCTACTGGTGAAATCTATAAATTCTTAATACTCATTTAAACTTCTTCTACGCATTTTTATTTGCGACCAAGAGATATTTTTTTAAAAAGATTTATCACCAAGTGCACTTATATGATTATTCTACTCCAAAAACATTCAGAGACTGTGACTTCCTTCATCCACTAAGGTCTTCTAAATAAAAATGCGTAGAAAAATTAACACAGTCGTTTGGACCTTCTATGCCCTAACATCTTCAAAATGTTAAGACTTAACCAAATAAATACGCACTAATCTCCTTCATCCACTAACATCTTCAGAATGTTAAGAATTAACCAAATAAATAGGTATTAATCTTCTTCATCCACTAAGCTTTTAGAAATGAAAAAAAATTCACATTCCTCGTCCACTGAGATCTTCAAAACAAGAAGTCTCAACGAAATTAATGAATACTGTATAGTTAAATAGGACAAAAATAAGAAGATTAACCGATAAATGTTAATTTTTTAAAAAAATGGTTATTATACCTTAGATCCACTCAGCCCTTCAAATATTATTATTGATCAAAATTAATTTCTTTTAAATGTATTATATCAAGAATCAACTCTTATTACAATAAAATTTGTAACCACGAGAAATAATTTCCTCAGAAAGCAGAGCAATGTGAAATTTCTAAATTTGGAATTTTAATCCACCACTTTTGTAGTGCAAACAAAGTTTACAAAAATTCAATTTGTTGTACCCTGTACTGAAGATTGCAAACTTAACTAAAATTCTTCGAAAGTGGCAGAAATTTTTTTGAAAGAAAATTCGAATTGATGTGATTCGAAATAACGAGTGTAATACTATTTAAATTTTTTTAACATTCAATCCTTAGCTACAGTTAGTTCACCAGGAGTTGGCACTTGGCTCCACCTCCTCGGAGGTATAGTTCATTTCAGCGCTGGACAGTAAGAAGAAAAACATCTCCGCTCTTGGAATTGTGACAACCCTTAATGCTCGGCAAACACAAACAGTGAATTCTTTTTCAGTCACTTACTTCTTTTTATCATCTGCTACTATGCCTTTCGTTTCTCTAGTTAACTAAACACATTATGCTGTTTACCCAGCAAAATTTCTCAAAAAGGACAAACTATTCTCAAAAAGGACAAACTAACTAACAAAAAATAAATAAATATTCACTCAAAAGAGAGAAATATCATAAAAAAGGGCACGAAATAGCATCACATTTATGAAATATTTAGTGTTAAAAAAATGAACATAAGGCTTGCGAAATAAATATTTTTGTCATACGATCGTCAAATAGCAACCTTGTTCAGAATTGTTCACATCCTTCTCCCAAAAATAGCGAAATAGTATAGCCGCATACCACGCGATGAAGGCGGAGGCAAGTGCCAACTCCTGGTGAAAGAACTGTACCCACTCAATTGCATTGCATACTCAAGTAATTTTGACCCATGAAAAACTATTAAGGGTAAACAAAGATAACCAAGGTTTTGTGTCAACCACACAAACAAGTATTTGTAATTGGTTAAATGAAAGGAAGTTTTTTTTATTTTCTCAAATTCCTTAAAAACGTTTTTTTTTTTAAAGTAATAACACAACTTATGTTTTATTATATAAATTATTGTAAATTTAAAAAGCGACTTATTCGACGTATTAGAACTTAAATAAAATGATATCTTGATAATCATCCAACTGGAATTTTACGTGTAGACCAAATTAAAAATAAACTTCTCAATTTAACACTGTTAAATTTCTCGGGGAAAGAAAAGGTTAAATAAATTTTTTTTTGATTATTATTATACCATATTCGAATAAAACAGTCGAATAACCACAATAAGACAGTATTCAAACTGTTAACTATAAGAAAAACCGTTTATTGACTGCTTTCACCTATTACAGTTAAGCAACCGGAATTTTATCGCACCTACTAGACTTACCTAATGAAGCCACTTCGTTCCCTACAGCCCAGAGGGCTGATCTGTCAATTTCATGACTTGCACAACAGGGGTTCGAATCCCAGCGTTGATATCACAATGTTTCATCCATTCTCTTCAAAACAAAAAGAGTGTCATGCAAGTCAAGCTGAGTTTTTTTTAATGGTGTTGAAACCAGGCTAGTAGTAATTGGTTAAAAAATGTATACTTTTGTATTCATAGTTTTTTAATTATACTAGTTGTAAACGGTTTTAAGACCGTGAAGGTAAAAAAATATTTTTTTCAGCAAACTTTACGGTTACTTGGATGGATAGACTGCTGCCGGTTGTTTTATAATAATTTATTCAGAATCAAAATTCTATCAATGAAGTGCCACTTCACAGCAGTGCAAAAACTTTAAATTTTAAATGGGAATACTTTCTATCATCAAGCTTTCTTCAAATACAAAACACATCAGCATGTTGTGAGTTCTTGCTTTTGAGAATTGCCGTAAGTAACAACGTGAAAAAGGAATCACTGACAGGGTGATCATCAAAACCGGAAAAAAATTAAAAAGTACTGGCCAATATTTAATAAAGACTATGAAAAAATAATTTCACTTTAAATTTGCAAACATAAAATTAGTATTCAATAGTTTGTCGAAAATTATTCAAGAGAATTAGATCTGAAAATTAAATTTAAGACGCGATTATATACCAAAAAACTTTATCTTTGAAAATTCAGGGAGGAGAGATGATTACGCACCAAAGTACAATTATAAAGTAAAATTAGATATGTTGCCAATTTTGAGAGGAAAATTTTAATTTATTTTAACATTAAAATACAAAATTGACAATAATTTAGCATACAATAAAGTCTCAAATTGCAAAACAAGAGGTTCAAAATTGAAAATGTCACAATCAGACTAAGGGAGTTCCTGCCACAGAGAGAGGGGACCCCCAAATAAAACATTCGAAGGAAAAAAGATAAAATTTAAAGCATATAAATAACTAAGTGAACTCCAAAAAAATTAAATAAAGGAAAGTAAACGTATGCTTACAATATTAAAATTTGAAGATAAACTAATGCACAAAAAAAAAAGAAGGAAACTGCAAACAAACTATTAAATGGCATAACATAAACAAACCATTTTTCATAATGAATGAAAAAGTAGCAAAAAATACCACACGAAAGAACAAGATTTTTCTTCTCAGAAATAAATTTTGAGACTCAATCCCACAATTTATATTTTAATTTAGATAATTCATTGAAATTACAGCAATGTAAATTTAGAAATAAGTAAATAAAGAGTTAACAAAGCGAGTATTTATAACTTTACAAATAATTTTAATGTTGCTGAGAAAAACATTTGCTTCCTCAATTCTTCTGTACCACTTTTTAAATTTTTTTCAGTTGTTACCACGTTGAATATGGCACTTCATGATAGAAACAGGAAACAAAAAAGTAACTTCTCCCAAGTTTAATTTTTGAATTCCCAATTTTCGGGAAAGACAAAGCACTTTACTAAGAAACATATCATTCTTACTCCTTTTCTAGCAAGAGTAACTTACCTGTAGCCATAGCAATTTGTTTACCGTTATAGTATAAGCGAATAATTTGTAGAAAAGGGCTGAAAAGAAAGAGTTAACAATAGTGCCCAGAGTACCTGGTGTAAGGCCCACTTTTATTCATATTTTTTGTTGCTTTAGGAAAAATTATAAACGTGCATTTTCACCAAAGTCAATATTTTAGAAAAGATGCCAACTTGCTTCGCTTTGTGGACAATTTTTATAAAGTTTTAATTTCCTACCTTCTAACAGAAACTGTTACAGAAGGTGCAATAACTGCCATTGTCAGGGATGCTGCAGGCGACTAAAAATGTAGAAAGTGATGATTAATAAAAAACAGAAATATATTTAACACGTTGAATGCCACGGGGGTCACCGCAGACCGGCGAAGCCAAGTTTATTAGAAACACATAATTCGAGTAAATTTTTTGATTTTTTTATATTATTATCGTTACTAAAATGGTTTGAAGAAATTAATGTAATATAGAACGCACAAAAATAGTTTTATTTGCATACACAGAGATGTCAACTTGCTCTGGACAGCGAATAAATATTTTCAAGTGGTAGTTTATAAATTGTGATTCTTGGTTTAATAAATTCAATTTAGTAGATTTTTATCTATCTCTATTTCTAAACAATTCGTAGGTTTATATAATTCACTATTTTTTTCAGATATGTCATGCTAAACCTTTTAAAAACTAGCAAAATCTGTCTAATATTTGCAAATATTTTTTTTCTTCCCCCAATGGCAGGCATTGAATTTGAATTTTTGCCTATATTACACCAGAATTGTTGCTCATTTCGCGTTACCCAGTGGGCACCTGTGAACCAAAGTCACGGAGGCGAGCAACATTGCCCACGCCACACTGCCACAAACCCGTTTATAGGGTGGGCCACATTCACACATCATACACACACACAACAGAGGACAGCACAAAGAGAGAGAGAGACATCCATGCCCAGAGCGGGATTCGAACCCGCAGCCTATGGCTTCGCAGTCAGGCACGCTAACCAGGCACGCACGATTAAAACGAAAATTGGTGGATAGGAAGACAATGTACAGAAAAGTAAATGATTAAAATTTCAGAACAATTAAATAATTTATTGCAGAGTTACAGTAACAAGTTCAATAAGGTGATGACCCGCCTCTACCCTGGATACCATCTGCCACACGGCGTGGCATAGACCCATAAAGCTCCCGGATGATCTCTTGCGGTATTTCCTGACAAATTCGATCCAATTGTCGAACGAGGTCATCAACATTCCTTGCCAGATGCAATCGCCTTCCCATCATATCCCAGACATGCTCGATGGGAGAGAGATCTGGTGATCTGGCAGGCCAAGGAAGAGTTTGACAAGCTTGCAGACAGTTCA